CGGTTCAACAAAAGCAAGCAAATTTAATTGTTAAATGTAGTCACTGCAGTCCAATGCACCGACAAAGAACTATCAACTTTTTACGCACTTTCAACTATTTCTAGCCACGTTCAGAGATGTTACCCTGGTACCCCCGTATATCATCCTATCTTTGTTTAACATTGGGTGAACAAGGATAAAATCGATACACTCGGGTAACGTTTATGAAATACGCAGCCTATCGATTTATCGTTTTGGCGCCAAGCTTCGCTTTGTTTAGCTACCGTTGTACTTCTATTTACAAAGTGTAGCGGTAATTATTTGCGTACCGTTGAAGTATCAATTATTATAGGAATACATCACGAATAACTTGTAAAAATGTCAGACGTACGTATTCTGGGTAAACGATTAGCGCAACGCATCGGTCAGGAGGCGATCGTGCTGGGCAGAATCACGGAGGTATGAAAATATTTTAGCTTAGGTTAGTTTATACAGTTTATATAGGTTATGGTGATCACCAGCATTACGGAACAAAAATCATTTTTATCGCATTTTATTGCAATAAATATTAATTATCATTAATTAAACAATATTTTTAATATATATTATTAATATATTTCCTAATAATCAGGATTTGAACAAGTTTTTGCTATTTTATCTTTAAAAAGTGAAATCAACTAAACTGAATCAATTCGGTTAATATTGATTCGTTATAAGATGGCATTGCGCCTAATAAATCTTTTATGATTTTGTGTTAATGATTTACGTGAGTAAAATGCGTTTGGGACAATTCGTAGAAAAGTTCTGATGGTAAGAGTGCAGAGATCACGACGACCGACGACGCTCGAATTAATGTGACCTTTCTTGAGCCACTTGACAATAACGAATCGGGTTACATAGAAGTGCGTGGTACAGTAAAGTCAAAGTCTACAATGTCTTGCAGTAAATTTGTATGTTTCTCTCCAAGTATGACTAAAGACTTCAGTGAGTAAAACATTCTCTCGTCATCAATTTTTCTAACAAAAATGACGGTATCCTTAACAAAGATATTTGCTGCAGATTTAAATGGTTACAATACAATGGCGACTATGCGCTGTGCAGTGGGGAATCAGTTGGAAGGAGTATTCTACGGAGATTAAAAATCAGGAGTGTTCTACAGAGACAAAGATCCAAGAAATTTACAAATTGTGTTTACTGTGTTTCACTTTTTTCATACATTTTTTCTTTTTACATTCTGTTAGTTGGTTTGGCATATATCCCTACCATAAAAATAACAAGGAATACTGCAATATAAAAGAAAAGTATTCAAACATGCATTCCTTCGTCTATACATAAAATTGATCCAGTGGGACCTAATAAGTATACAAAACATGCAAAACCTATTATTGTAATAAATAGGTTATTTCAATAGAATATATATATAAGAATATTTAAATTTTTTGTAATTATACCTATGTCACAGTTGCGTTACGCGTGTAATCCAAAGATGAGCAGCGACAATTACAAGACGTTACGGGACATTCAGTATGTTGTCTGAAACATAGCAGTACAGAAATTAATAGTGTTGCAGATTTGCTGTAATATATGCTTTACATTTACATCTTTCAACATTGACTTTAGATTATATTTTATTTGCGCGCAGTTTAAGAAACTGAGAAATGTATATAAATATTCATGTAGAAAATGGCTGCTTTGCTTTTAGGAGACACAAGTATCGTATTATCTTTGTTTTTCATGAAATGCAACGAAGGATAGAACGATGTTGGTGTTAACTGAGTCGTCTAAAAGGAAAGCAACCATCATTAAGCAGTAAGATTCTGCTTTGAATAAGGTGCTTTTCATTTATTTATGTTATTTACATATCGGTTGATTTTCACTCTTATTATATTTTATTAACTAACGTATATTTATAACAAATGCGATCTTGTATCCTTACCGAAACCACTGAGCTATATGTTCGCTATGTCCTCCGTGTTTACATGTTAGGCACCATGAAAACCAACTATTAAATTCCGTAAGCTTAGCATTGCATTCTTCGTTCCTGGTACCACCAGGACTAGGAGCTGTTTGCAATCCACTGACGGTGCCTATGTGCATCAAGCATATTGCGCAACGCGGCAAAGGTTTGCGACAATTTGGGCACGCCGTCATCTACAATAGAAAAGGATATTGAGCAAAAAAAGATCTATATCATCAAAAAACTCGAGATGTGATAAATATATTAATGATTAATCATACGAAAATCTAGCTAAAAAACAGAAATATACCTTTAATTTATTAGGAGTACTGCCTAATCTGCCAAATGGAACTCTCGTCCTGCTCAGTCCTTGCATGGAAGCAGATATACTTTTGCCGCAAAAGTGACAAGATATATGTATTTGTTGCGGCGGTTTCTCTTGTGGCGTCGAGGATCTCATGACAATATCAAATTTAGCTCTTTGAAACCATAATTTCCATGCGTTCAAGAGATGTCTGTAACTGTAACAGCAACGTGCAAAATCAGAATCATGCCTGATCATTTGATATTTATGAGAAGAGAACCGATGCGTGACTTTGTATGACAACGATCGCCTTATGATCTGCAGATTTTGAATTCATTTTCGACTCATGTGTGTACATTTTTACAAAGGATTGGAAAATTGAAGATTGTAAGTAGAGGAAAGGAGAAGAATAATGTAACCTGTTTTGGGAATAGTTCAAAAAAATATATACAAAAGAAACTTGGTTGTAATACCTCGTAATCCATACTTGAACTTGATTCTCTTGAAGCAACTTAGGCGGAAAAGTTCTAATAGCAATAAGAGTACAACTCTGAACATCTGAGGTAATTTCCAAGTATTTACTCAATAATTGTATACTTTCCATACTTGCACCTAAAGCGCGACAATGTGTTACGAATGAGCACGTAATTAACGTTATATATTCATAAAAATACAAAACATATTCGAATCACAACCTGTAACCAAGAAGCCCGCTAGATCTCCATCTTCAATTACCTTCTCGGTTAATTTTTTCAAATACTCGTGCAGTTTATTATCCGATAAGAACATGAGAGCAAATGCTACTCGATCTTCGACAGCCATACCATTTTCATTCTATAACATCGAGCTTATTAAGCGCCTTATATCATTAAATCTTGATTCGCATATTTACGCATACTTACAAGTACACTTTCATAGGAATCGTTATCGGCGGTCAAAAAACCAAATGTTGCTCTTAAATAAGGATCTGATAACTGAGATTTAGATTTTTGACACGACTCTCTCCACAATGTGGTACTTTCTTCAGAAAAACCTGACAATGCCATAGCTACCATATTTAGAATAGCCGTTTGTTTCTTACTGGCACCTCGGTTTAAGATATCTATAGCTTGCCTTAGGCAGAGATTAAATACTGCGAACGCGGCTGCTTTCGCATACGCGCCTTCCTTCTCTAGCTTCTCCAGATACGCATTATCGTACGCCGTATTGGTCTCTCTGTCAAATCGCAAACCGCACAGAAGAAGACATCTTTCTCTGTCTGGCGATCTGCGATTGGTATTGATCAAAATTACATTGGGCGTATACACCCATATTTTCTCAACATTTATATGCACTTAAACTGTACCTGTAAACTTTTGTCATATAACCACTACCTATATCCGTCCACGGACGATGGATCACTTCTGTTTTCAAACCATTGACTGAATTTTGATCCAATTTTAAAACTGTCCTATGTAAAAGTTGGAGGCATTATGTTTATATAATTATATACTTCCAACTATTTATATTTTATATATATATATATATAAGGCATTAATTTTACCTCACACCGGGATGCTTATTATCAGGGCTCTGTACAGTGCCATCTTCTACTAAAGAGCGACTAAGATATAACCATTGCCATAAATTCTTTAGAGTTTCGTTCTCGGCTATATCGCCATTGTGAGCTAACTCCGGCTGTAAGCACATGCACATGTACTTTATACTGATTAAATATCATTAATAAGATTAAAGAAAAAGAGGCTAACACAAACTAAAAGCAAAATAATAATTTACCAAGAAAATGTTAAAATTGTTTTCATTAGCTCTATCTACTTACAAGCAAGCCATATTCGAACATAGCACGTCTCTTAGTTAAAACCGAGATATCATCTAGTTCCTTATAAACGCTATCTTCACTGTGTATATATTTAAACGATTTAAAAGCGCAATTCCACATGAGACATGACCGAGCAGACCAATTGAGCGTTATTCTCTCAGATACGGTGTAATCAGTTACGCCTGAGTAATAAGAATAGTATAATAATCTTGAACAAAATTGGAGGATTATATTATAATATAAAATATCATCACAAATACCTTGCAGTGATATTGCCAACAAGCGATTCTCATCAGTCGGATGCCATGAGAAACTTACGGGACTATGCCATGGTGGTAGAACCACTCTTTCTAAAACACCAGGCTCAGTATCCTCTGCTCCACAGTACTGAATGTCAAATAGATGCAAGCCAACTGCAAAATAAGAATAAATGCATTTCTGCTTTTACTTTTCTTTTTATCGCTAACAGCTTACTTTTGAAAATGTCTAACTTTGTAATTAACTTTTAAAAACTATATGTATAAATTATAGAAATATAATTAAAAACTACATATACCTGAATCTTTTTGTAATGTGCCAATTAGATTTCGTCTAGTGGGACACCACAATACCTTCGTAACGTGCCGTAATGGCATTATAGTAACAATCGGTTTCTCAAAACACCGAGTGTCCCAAATTGTTATCAGATTGTCAACATGTGAAAGTAGCTGATAATTATTATGGGGATTTACCGACAGACTATATATCGCTTTTGTGGGAGTAACGTTTACCACCTTTGCAGGATCTAAAAAAATTTAAAGAATATCAACAAATTGTACGTTAACAAATCGTCAATCGTATCTTTTAAGAGCGTACCTCTGAAATCTATAACTTTCAACTGTTTGTTATTAACACCGAGAGCCAAACATCTTGGTTCATGTTTGAACCAAGCAGCGGAATGTACAGTTTCTGATATGCCGGCTTCTATTACTGGTCGTTCCGAACCTTTTGGACAATGGTGCACATCCCAAAGCAGCACAGAGTGCTCTTTGCTATGTTTGTCCAGACCTGACATAATCAGGTGAGTATCTACAGGATTCCAAGCAACAACGTTGCATGATCGCATATATTTTGGGACTGGAATTTCATGATATAAATTAGAAACATTAAGTAACGTATTGTCAGATGTAATATTACTCAATAACAATGTAACAATGATCTCTACAAAACTCTCTGCCGACCAAGCCCTGGTAATCAAACTCTGGCGGACTAAGGGTACTCAAAACTATCTTTCCATTCGCATGGCCACTGGCTACAATTTCTGGCTCAGGTTGTGGATATATATCAACGCATTTTGCATAACTGTTGATGGTAACCGAGCAGACCAGTTCGGCAATGGAATGCTCCGAAATCTGTAGATCTGCATTAAAAAGAATGTCTATATATATATATATATATATATAATGTCACAGACAAAATGTTAACTCAGTGAATGTATCGGTTTACTGTTGTTTGCTGTAGTCAGTATATACATTTGCCAGGGTTGGCAAACGTTACTTTTCAGTTACTTTGTCGTTACTTTTTATAGTAAACAATTTGATGACAATGTTGCAATTTTTTATGACGATAACGCTAACTAACTAAACGCTAAGGTTGTACTAAAGTTAGAAAAGTCACTTTGAAAAGTAACTTGTCACTATTATGCGTTACACCGAAAAAATTATAAGTATAACGAGTAACGCGTTACAAATTAGGAGTTATTTTTTTCAGTAACGAATGACTTTTTCAATCCATTACAAGTAACGATTGACTTTTATAACTCTGATGTTAGCATTACCATCATAAAAAATTCACAATGTCATTATCAAATTGTTATTATAACAAGGTAACGATCAACAAAGTAACGCGTTACTTGACATTTGCTATACACAAATGTATACATTGACTAATAAGTATATATATTTACTAAAGTTAACACTTTGACTGACATATATATATATAAAATATTTTTTAAAACATGAATTTAGCGTATATCTTAAATAAACTTACAAGTTTGATCATTCTCCCGCACGCTATTATCACGCGGTCCAATCTCGTAAAGGTTCAATAACGCATCGCTGTCCCATGTGATAAATCGGTCCGAATGAAAGGGGGACCACAGCACATCCCATTTAGGGCGGCTCATTGTTCACTCTGTCTCGTTCACGCTTCTGTCATAAAGCCGTGGAACATCGCGTTATTTCACATCCGCCAACATCGTACACCCAATGTTGAAACGAAACGTTACGTTCAACGTGCACGGCACGTATCGCGATTGTAATTCTATCGCGCAATAGCCATCCAGTCTGTTGAAATGTCAAAGAAACGTCCGTGTTATCCTCTGCCACGTTTGTATGATTATTCGTACCTTGCAAAACATGCCCTTTGAATGTTTACATTTATCATGCCTCCCCCGACTTCGTCTACTCTCGCGGAGAAATCAACCTTCTAGTGCCTTCTAGTGACTTCTAGTGCCTTCTACTCTGCTTTGCACTACTGCTCCGCAGATTTCTGGGGATCGATTCTGTATCTTAAGCCTTGTGTCCATGATGTTAAAAATTGGTCCGAGATCTCGGAGAGAGGAAGAATTAACCAATCACATTTAAATAATTTAGTCACATGATCAATGCGATTGGTCAATTCTTTCTTCATCCGAGATCTCGGACGGATTTCTAGCATCGTGGACACTGGGCTTTAAAACGAGGTGAAAATTAGGCCCTGCGCTCAATGGAGGAAATATTAGAAACAGGAATAGATATTAATGCGGGGTCTACAATAGAAGTCGTAGCAGTCGTAAGGTCTTAAGTCGTAGAAAATTGACCAATCACAGTCTCCCTACGACCGCTACTTCTATTGTAGACCCCGCATAAGATTTTAACCTATCAGAAACCGTGTATTCCGGTGTAATTAGTATCTGATAGGTTAAAATCTTAATATCTATTCCTGTTCCTAATATTTCCTCTATTGTGCGCAGGGCCTTACAAAAGTGAGCAAATTTACTAGAATACTGATAATTTCATTGATCAACACCTAGTAAATTTGCTCACTTTTGTCATTTTCACCTTGTTTGAAGATATACCTTGCTTTCCAGCAAGGACACAGTCAGACACTGTGTAACACAGTGTCTGACTATGTCCTTGCTGGAAAGCAAGCATAATCGACCCCCAGGGCCTCTATTCTTGGGAATTTTCCAGCAAGAGGCACAAATTGACACAAGAGTCATCCTGTGCTTGTTCGATAATCAGTAAGAAACAAAGACAGAATGACTCTTGT